TCATAAACTCCCATAATCAGTGTGGAAATTCATGAGCTCAGCAGCTGAGGAGAGCGAACATATATTACAACACGGAAATACTCTTGCGATGGGGGATCTGCTCTCCAGTGGCTTCAACTACTTCACCACAACAGGAGGGTTGCTTCACCTCAACCTTGTACGACTACTTACTCCCAGAAAACCCCATTCCTACTATTCAACTCGATTCCATATGCATTATCACTTGTCACTCATCTGTGGACCCGTCAAAAAGGCAGTAACAGCTATTCGTCTTCCTCCCGAAGAACAACAAGTCGGTAGTATCTCGTGCGGCACGTCCCTAGCCTTGTAGATCACCAACCTGCCTCCCATTGGAGAGATCCTTACCTTATGAGTAAAAAAGCCACTGCCAACATAATAACAAGAACCACAGTATCACATACTATAGCCAACCACAGGTCTACTTACATCTTCAGCTGATTCAGTAGGTCCTTCTTTATACAGTGCGAGCTCTCCACCGTCCCTTCCTCCACTGAGAAATATAACCACTAACACGCTTGAGGATATGAAAACAAATGCTCTCATCCCAGATAACCGGGCATCAAATATTGCCTACAGAATTGTTAGGATCATTTTAATGAAGTTTTACCCGTGAAATGAAAAACACTAGTAAAAGATATATTCCACGACCACTGCATAGCGCGATATCAGGTTTTTCACTAAGTATTTCACCACTCCACGTGAAACTCCAATGTTCACATATGTCTGTCACGGTCGTTCCTTCTATTAACATCACGTACCAACAAAGCAAGCAGATGCCTCACAATCACCGAACCCCCTTTATTACTCCACATAGTCCCCTTCAGAGTTCATAAATACAACAGCAGTAAAGGTCCTGCCAACATCCTTATCTCCATACCCACCATCCATATGCCTCTTATAGAAGCCTTTGCTCGATGGATAAATACCAACTTGAACCTGCACAAGCTGGAAGTACCACCAGCCCGCGAACAACAACATATTCGATAGTACTCGAGGATTACAGGGCCAGTAAGGTGTTCTATAGAGACCAGCGACGAATCGAAATCGAGCGCAACTCCAATCTCCAACAAAAGAACTCCTCCACTAATATTGACGAGGCTTTACTGCACTAAATGGGTGTCAGCCGATCATAGTAGGTTTATGCAACCACTACGACTGCAATTAAATTCCGCTACTACCTGAGTATGAATTTGTAAAAGCGTCTTGTGCTCTCCCGATAACTTCGCGTTGAGCTCGAAAGGCAGGTCTTGCAGTCTCTCACTGATTAACCATCGCAGCCACTCGTAGGTCTCCACGTCCAACTCTGAAAAGCACCACTAGACCACCTCCCACATCAGCAACCTAAGATACCTCTATACTTTGGGAAGCATATCTTATCGTTTCGAAGAGCAACCATATTCTGCCCATATACAGTGTCAAAGTGACCCTCGAACTCCAACAACTCGATCTCCTCACGAATCTTACCAACCTCCTTCATAGATATAAATCTGCGAGATCGATAATTGAAGAATCGTTCTTCGTTCAGAAGGCCGAAGGGAAAAGTTACACCCGGGATTCGATTTTTCGAAGTTACGCCGAGTAACGGATCTATTCTTTATCTTTCCAACAGAACGAAGAACACACGATCAACTGTGTGTAACGATTCGGTGCCGAAAGTGGCTACCGTAAGTGGTTGAATTTACTTCCATCTAATATCAATAATATCTTTAGGTTGAGTTTTAAAGATACGGAATATGTCCATCGCCACATATCTTCTCGAGAAAGCTAGTGGTGATACCACAACTTAATACCAACAATCGGCCACATCTTATGAACATCCCCCTAATACCCATCCTGTACAGCCCAGCCGTTCCTCATCAACGACTCTATCGTGGCCGAGTTGAGGCGATCAAGTGGATGGGTGCCATCCACCTCACATACCTAGCCAATACCACACCTTGAGAACATCACCATTCCTGCACACCTACCGGAGAGCGCTTCAATGCTAAAGGGTTGGCATACGTCCCACCTTCAGTAGAAGACGATTGATTACGACCTGAAGCCAGAGAAAAGCAGTCAGCTACAAGGTTCCTATAGAGACTAGAATACGACTGATAGTTATACAGTGAATACCTACCTACACCATGTGAGGTAACAAAGAAACACAGCTTTACAATGAATATGCTCCCAAAGATAGGCATCCATATTGTTCAGTATGAGGGGCATATATCTGCAGCCTAGGCTACATCATGCCTACGAGCAAGCAGGTTATCAGTGTATACAGAGACCTATAACATGCCTCTATATAGTATCAATAGAGTATACTAAGAGTATGAATATACAACGTACAATAAGGAGTATTTACAAATGTCTACTCCTTGCTCAGGTTCCTGGCCAACGTTTTGTAGCCATCCGAACTTCAGGCATGTCTTCCATAAAACGACAGTTGAGTATCCGCCTCATTAGGCATATACTCCGTACTCACCAACCTCTCACATGATCCTCCCAGGATAGTGATCGATGACAGGTATATTACCTTGCAGCCACTTTCTCGCTCTTGCTACTATCTCTTGCTTTGCCGAGTTCATTAGACATTCCCGCCGAACATAGGACTTCACATTCTCAGGCATCTCCTCTCCTTCTTCCTTAGCTCTATTGACAACCTGAAGGCATTCATCAACGATGCCAACAACATTGTTAAGTCCAAATAACCAATGTCTGTTGCATACAGCAAATTATAATGCTAAGCTACATATTAGAGCTTCCCCAAACCTCATGAAGGATCTCCTATCTCTTCTATACCTCCCTTGTACCGTGTCCTTACCTTATTATAGACTGTAGTAGAGGTCTTTATAATAGTAGGGACCATATCATGTAGACTGGATGGGGATAATAACTCGTCGATCTTATCTCCGATCAGGTCCTCAGCACCAGCAGGAGAAGTGGACTCGTTATGATGATGATGGCCGCACTGAGATCATAGCAAGGGGGTTCATCTCGAGTGGAGGGGCAGCTATGCCACAACTCGAAGATATGCCTCAGTACAATCGATTTCTTCTAACGGGGCAGCTATGCCACAACTCGAAGATATGCCTCAGTACAATCGATTTCTTCTAACGGGGCGGGTATCCCACAACCCCAAGATATGCCCTAGTACACTGAATTCCTACGAATGGGAAAGCTATGCCATAACCCCAAGATATGCCGCCGTACAATCGATTTCTTCTAACGGGGCGGGTATGCCACAACCCCAAGATATGCCGCCGTACAATCGATTTCTGCGAACGGCGTGGCTATGCTATCCGACGAGGTTGATCTCACTGAAAGCTGCCACACAGGGTGTATATCTTCCCCCACCCCATCTCACTTTAGGCAGCGGTCCAGCAAACAGGGAGGCCCCCACAACCGCTCTGGGCTCGGTATTCGTACCACTCCTTACCTACATCCTCATCATCATACCATCATACAATCTCTCCAACCAGCAAGCCCTTGCTTACTCTGCGTTCTATATCCTGTAACTGTCGAGAGTTCTCCACGAAGGCACGAACAATAAGATCCACAGTAACCTTCAAAGCGATCTCATCGTCTTCTCTTAGTTTCCCTCGACTTTGCACGAGTTCTTTCACATCTTCCACTCTGTTTGCCACCGTCATAGTGAACTTGGAGATACTCCTCAACCGTTTCAAGCACTGATCAACACAAGACTTTCTATCATAGTAGGAGTATCTATCCTAGATACATGATAAATGTTGTCAGCAATTTGATAATGCAACTTAACCACGGAAGCTTCCTAAAAATGAAGGCTTATTCCTTTCCAGCAGGTTTATCTCCACCGCTCGACACAGAGGCAGTTTCAGCACCATTCTCTTCAATATCCAACTGCTCTAGCTCCTCCTGCTTGTTGACTCCGTCATATTCCGCTTCCTCCTTAATCTCCTCGCCGTAATGCTTATAATAGTACACGCCCATAGTAATGATGATAAAACCGACAATTTGTATAACGCCAACTTCGTTACCAAAGAGCATCCATGATACCAATAAGGTCGCCGGAGTCTTCAACGTGTGGACCACCATTGCACCCACCGGGGAGAGTACTTGTAACATCTTGAACGCCAGCAGGTTATAGGAACAGGCCAGCATCGACGAGCCAATAACAGCTACTAGAGCAATAGGGGACCGGAAGAGATTCACAATAGGTTCGGTGAGACCCTCGGAGAGAATAGATGATGTCGAGAAAAAGAACAAATTGGCAGGAGCTAGGACGAAGAGTAATTCTATGTTAGTAAAGGAAACAGTCATCAGGTGAGCTTGCATGGTGTTCTTCAGTGCACGGGTGAGTACAGCACCAATAGAGAAGGTAACGCCAATAACGTTGAAGTTAACCTCCCCACCAGAACACATAATAGCGCCACCACAAATCGGTATCATCGACAAGTAGGTTGGCAGATTATAACGTTGGTGGTAAATTAATACACATACCAACACTTGGGCCGCCGGGCTGGTCTGTTGTAATAACTCGTGGAATGATGGGAATATATATTTTAGTGCCATATTGCCACAACCAATACTAGCACTAGCCATGGCTGCTACTGGAAATACTTCTACCATATATCGTTTTAATGTATATTCCCTCAATGCTGGTACATTAAATTTAACATATACCCCACAAGCCAACCAAGAGAATACCATATGGACCGCACTTATAAGCAGTGGATAAGGGTAATGTAACGTATACTGGATGTATTTCACAGAATTCACCAATGCCACATTACAGGTGAAACACGCCGCGATAATACCAAGCTCTCCCACAGTGTAACCAAGCAGTGTCATCGCAAACACAAAAACTACCAACACTCTGAATTCAACCCTCGTCAGCGTAGTATCAACAACGATAATATTGCCAGAAATACCAACGACTACAACCTCACAGTCAAGTCCTCATGTATCGATAGCAACTCCTATTAAGGGCTTATCAGGATCAGACGCCTTCAACGAGGCCGGCAACTCTCAGCCTCGCTTCGCTCTTTACAAGCGATTCCACTACTCGACACATACAAGTTAACACACGTGAGATGCGTCCAATGTTAAGTCCAGTGCTACTAACCTGATATCGACTCGAAATGCCTGTGAGAGATGATAGAACCCCCCTAGGAGACCGACAGAGAATTGAAGGTGTTATTCACTCGCTATTCTGTGATTGTGTATTGGCGCACTTCGCTATCACAAGGAGATCCTCCAACCTCCCAGCTCGATCAAGCTATAAGCCTGAAGCGTAGCAATCCACAACATAAGCCTATTGCTCAAGTCGTCGCCCTCGTTGAGCCATGCTCTCACATCACAGGTATCAAATACCTTACAATAAGCGTGTAATCTACAACCCTACACCAGCAAGCGCATGGAGTTGCTGGTTGTCTCCGTCGAACCAGCAAGTTCTAGCCACATTATGACCAGCTCCTTCAAACGCCCATGGTTATACTTGAAGACAACCTCCGCCCCTCTGTCGGGGCAAAGATGAACCATTTAACGAATCAGCCTTAGAGTATATGTTACCTTTTCTCACCTGAGCTCAAAAGTTTTCACACAAGCTTACGATTTCGAGTGGAAGGGTACGAAAACCAACGAAAATTTCCCAGAATTCCCATACTGAATATCCACTCATACCTAAGACACTCAGCCGAAGCTTCTCGCCATCTTCACTGCTTCTGTTCTCCCCTTCCCCAAGAAAACACAATCATAAGGTTTTAGCCATCTCAGAAATACCACTTATCAGCATTGATTTCCAATAAGATGCGCTGAAATTCACAGAGTGAATTTCCTCAATACATAATCAAGTATCATTTAAAATGACGGCCATGAAGATTACGATGGCCAGTCAAACGCAAGAATATGTACAGAGAGAGACAACAGCGTGTGATTAGTCTCTGGTGTGCTCCCTCTCTCCCTCTCCACAATGTTGCTTGTAATCATCTATGATGTCATTCGTGATGACCCCAACCAACATTGTATGGGGTGACGGCGACTAAGTCAACTAATTTTGACTGGCGTTCCTACCATTCCTCGCAAGAATTGTCACCCCATCCACCGTAAAGAACTCAACAGAATTCACACGACAGAGAAATGTTATTGGTAGAAGCAACAGTGCCGAACTCTCTAGGGGACTTAGAACTCAGCACGCGTGCGCAACCTTGCGACAACCATGCTCGCCCTCCGAAATTACTCAACGAATCTATCTACACAGCTCAAGTTCTTCTCACGATGACTTCCTACAACCGAGGAGAGGCAGGGCGATCAGCCAACTCTAAATCGAATTCTTCCGGATCGCCCCCGTTCTTCGGATCAATTTTCTGATAGTCTTCTGGTTTCACTTCCTTACCATAATTCTTGTAGTAATATACACCAGCTGTAATGATAACAAATCCTATTATCTGCGAGATGCCAACCTTGTTGCCAAACAACACAGTCGAGACCATCAAAGTCGCCGGCGTTTTCAACGTATGAACAACCATAGCCCCCACTGGTGATAACACCTGCAGCATTTTGAATGCCAACAGATTATACGTGCATGCCAGCAGAGCTGAGAACACCACCGCGAACAGTGCAGTAGGCATTGATATGAGCTCTCTGGTGGGCGCCAACACCCCTTCAAAAAGGAAGGAACCACTTAAGAAGAAGAACAGATTGGCAGGAGCTAAGACATATAATAACTCAATGTTGGTGAACGACGTAGTCATCAGTCGTGACTGCATGGTGTTCTTCAGTGCACGTGTGAGTACAGCCCCAATAGAGAAGGTAACGCCAATAACGTTGAAGTTAACCTCCCCACCAGAACACATAATAGCGCCACCACAAATCGGTATCATCGACAAGTAGGTTGGCAGATTATAACGTTGGTGGTAAATTAATACACATACCAACACTTGGGCCGCCGGGCTGGTCTGTTGTAATAACTCGTGGAATGATGGGAATATATATTTTAGTGCCATATTGCCACAACCAATACTAGCACTAGCCATGGCTGCTACTGGAAATACTTCTACCATATATCGTTTTAATGTATATTCCCTCAATGCTGGTACATTAAATTTAACATATACCCCACAAGCCAACCAAGAGAATACCATATGGACCGCACTTATAAGCAGTGGATAAGGGTAATGTAACGTATACTGGATGTATTTCACAGAATTCACCAATGCCACATTACAGGTGAAATTAGCAACAATTATCGCGATCTCGCCAATACCGTAACCAAGGACATTCATATTGGAGGAAAGACAGATAGAACAAAGAAAGCTACTCCAAAATAAAAAGTGCCAAAACTCAACCACTCATCCCAAGTAGAAAGAATCTTTATCCATGCGCGCACCGCGAAGATTTCACATAACACAGCAACATTGATTACTGTCAATTCTGATATCTGCGGACTCCAAAAATGGAAACCCGTCGTCGCTTCCACTTCCCGCATGCGACCCTCCACTGCTACGAGTGCTGCTGGTCGAGGGTGTCTCCACAGTGGCAAATAAAGATTTACCGCTTCGCTCCGCCGATATTTCCGCGACAATTTCATATGAAAATGCATCAGAATCACCAATTGGTGACTGTATCGCCTCATCATCATCGCCACCATTATTGATCGAATTTTCATCTGTTCGAAAACTTGGCGACGTCGCCCGATCTACGGTCCTCGTCCTCGACACCCTTTCCATGTTCTCTTCTTTCACCTCCTGCGTTTCCATCGGGCGGAAGGTCATATCCAAACATACACAACATTTATTCAACTCGTCAATGCAATCATCAACCTATAAACATACGCCCATTAGATATTAGCACGCATGCACAATACTCACCACAATTGACCATGAACACGCCTTCCCCCCAACCTCATCTTCTTCCCGCTCACAAGCCAGCTCTACCACACCATCTACCATCACCGTCAGAAGACAACCTTTCCCCGCGCGCCACGAAGTCCACCCCAAACACAGTAATACCGGCGGAGTCTCACACAACCCAGATCCTTCCTGAAAACTCCACACAGACCTCCCAACGTAGTGCTCATACTTACTTCTACTCGAGTAGCAATATTCCTAACCACTTCGGTTTTCCCAACTACTCTCACCCCAGTACTCTCACTGTCATATTCCAATAGATAGAGAACCCAGGTACGTCCCTCGCCCAACAACAGTAAACAGAATACAGTTCTATGTCCACCCGACGAACCATCTGTGAGTGCCTGATCACCTAGCGGAGCGAGGCGATACTTGTTTACCATTTTACCACACACAATCCCACTCCCCCTTTCTTTCCTCCCACTCGACAAGGTAGTTGATACGAAGCATACACCGAAGCTGGCAGGAAGGAGTCATCTCTCTGTAACAAGCGACAACGGGATACCAAACCTTCCTCAAATCTGATAACAATGCATCCACACACCATAACAGAGAAAATATGCACATGGTCAACTACGTGTGTTGTTGACAGTGTGAAAGTTGTAAGGAATTTTTTACTAATTTCTGTACTTCTCCAGCCGAATTCCTAAGTAGACGTCCATAATTAGTGAGGAAACCTCCGAGCTCCGCTGGGAAAAGTCAGTGTGAGAAAATATGCACATGGCCAACTACATGTGTTGGTGAAAATATTAAAATTCCCAGGGAATTCCGCTTGGTTTCTCAACACTTCTACCACCCAAATTTCTATCAAAGCTTCTATAATCAGTGGAAAAGGCTCACCCACAAAGTGCCTTGCATGCCTCACACGCAGCCGTGAAAGGCAAATCCAGTGGTTGTTCTAATGCCATCCACGTGGACGACCTTCGGCCCAACTCCTCCGTCCATCCTAACGTCTCAGCACAGTCCCGAAACGACACCCCCGTGAGGAAACACCTACCATCGATGGCACACATTTGGGCCTATTCTGTATCTTTGTGTGCTCACGTGCAAAGATATGTCACAGCATGCTTCATATCTTCCAATCTCCTCGGGGTGTTATGTTCTCCTACCAGTTGTATCATCACCTTATCCTCTCCCCCATACGCTTCATACAACCGCTCCGAATGCTGGGGAGGGACAAACGTATCCGAGGTTGCGCACAAGAAGATACAAGGCAGGTACGCCTAAGGACCACCTTCACTGCGCAACACAAAAATAGTACCAACACCCTTACCTCGCCCACACAGTCAATCGGCGACACGTCCTGCATAAGGAAATCCGCCTTCTGCTTCACCACCATCGATGCCACCGATAATATGCCACTCAATAGCCATGATGGTATCTACCAAGAAAATTCATATATATGTTCACTTTTCTCAATTCCCCCCTTCTTTTCACGGGCGCATTTTTCCCCACATCGACACGTGGAGTCAAAGCCACCTATTACCACTAATGAAACCCTCTCAGGATTTTTCAAAAAACATATACAAGCATCATCATCATCAATAGTTCTCTTGACAGACCCCCAAAGGGCCTCTTCCCCTCCCCCCCCATCACTACCCGTAGGCCAACATAGTCCGACACCGCCAGCTCCTGTACGAGCTGAGGTAGGTTAGCAAACGGCGAATCCACGACCATACCAGCCAAGTCGTGATGCTTAGCCGCATACAACAACGCTGTTACTGCTCCCATAGATCTGAATAATGCCTCACAAATACAAGTACTACGCTTCAGTGAGCAAATTTCAGTCAGCGGGGGTCTAACATGAAAAACCGGTATGCAAGAAGTATGCTAAAGATTTTATATTCTTCTCTTATGACGTGATTTACAAAGTCAGCTTCGCTCCGCTAAATCAATGATCAATTTTCAGTGTTGGAATATATGTCCTCTTTCCTCACTATTTATAGGAGTTTATATGAGACGTCGGGTAAAGTTGACAAGAGAAACCAATAGAAATTTCCTCACAATTTTCATATCATCACCAACACATGTAGTATATTGTCCCACACTGTCCCTTACCTGCCCCACAGCGCCACAACCCCCACACTGGGTAGCCTTCTAATGTGCTCCACGACAGTACGTAGATCCTCCGTTTCGAAGTACCCCAATGACACATACTCGCCCTCGGAGAGACCGCAACCAGCAAAGTCAAAACAACATAGACTGACACCCAATGGTAATAGAATAGGAACCTGACATGCCACCAAGTGATGATAGAAAAAAATATCATCATTGCCCGATTCCACAAATCTGAGGTTTTCTTAGAGAGCATCAGAGAAAAGGAAACCATAGGGAGCTTCTCTTTGGTTTACTCCTCCCCCCACCAGATGGTCATTGAGCTCAAGAGGCATATGATACTTCGGTTCGTTCAGTAGAGGTGCTATGCTCTATAGTGCACTAGGAAGTGACAAAGCTGTGGTACGTATACTTCATCACAGCAACACGCTCACTAACAACGCCTATCGACCTGCCGACCCCGGTTCGATCCCCAGCAAGGGTACTTACTAATGGTAAGGCTTCCAACCTACACCCAGCGTTGCCATGCATGTAGATAACACACGGATAGGACACGTCATCGGCCCTCAAGCCTCTCGGGACGAACAGGGAGCACTTCAAACTGTGACCCCTCACAGAAGTCACTGTGAAATCTTCTCGTTGGCAAGTGATACCTAACGAGCAACCTTTTCCATACCAAAAATCCGTCACATCACGACTGAACCTCCTCCCACCGTTACCATGCAATTTGAACTTCCTCGGTCCCAGAGAGCTGTCACTATATTCCCGTCTCGGCGGGCGAATGATGAGATTCCACAACGCAAAGACGGAGGCGTCTCGAGCGGCTCGAAATGGCATAACAGAGAAGGAAGGAACAAAAACAACTTGTGGAGGAACTCAGAGAGACCAGAGCAATATTGCAAGCAAGCTTAGCACGTGGAGAATTTCGTGGCGCGTGACGCCTGCATCTCCGAAGTCCCCGGTTCGATCCCCGGGACCTCCATTTCTACTCGAAACCCTCCCGAGAACCTGCAACGATGCTCAACAGAACATCCCTAACCCCGAAATCGATTCTGGAATTGATTTCTATATCTTCATACCTTGGTTAAGCTCCCCTCCCTGTGGCTCAATGAATGACCGATAACAGGCCTATGTTAAGACTCACGCGAAGATCTTGTGCATAGTTATTCATCTTGAGACTAACTAGCATCTCCTAAGAGTCGCTTTCATGAGGCCGGTCAACGCTCCTCCTCTTATACGCTCTGTTACAGAATAACGTCACACTCTGTGTACACATAGTGTACGTCACATATCGTAGACGTGCTTTGTAATACAGTAATCATAAGATCAACGGTGCGAACGGTATACTTAGTATTCATTGTTCAAAGTGCGCTGTTCATAATGTTCCAATGCCTTATATAAAGGTCTCTGCACGTTTGATTCCGCCTTGCGTTGAAGGAACTGCGGCACGCAACTTTCCTTCGACCAAAATAATCATCTTACCCCCATCGCACTGTAGTTTTACAATATCACAGCGACGGAACTCCAGCAAACACAAGTCGATTTAGTCGGAGAAA